GAAGAAATAAAAAAAAAGATAGAGAGAATAGATAACTCGATGATTAATCGCGAAAAGTAAGAAGACTGAATTTCAACTGCTTTCACTTCTCTACTCCTAAAATTTTGATATTCAAGGTATCTTGTGATCAAATTAGATTGCGGAAGAGTTTCGCGATTTCTTTAGGTGCTCCTTAAAATGCTCCTCACGCATTTTACATGTTATCTGTAAATGTTTCTTAACAATATTCCTGTGCCTCATGTATCGCGTTCCCATATCCCAGCGGGAGCATTTTCACCTGGATATACGCTCGTAATCCGCCAAGTGGAAAAAGGTCATCGTAAAATTCACCGGAAAAATTCTCATGCTTATCGACTGACAAAAAAATTTCAAGTAAGTTCGCTCAAAATTGCTCGTATCATCTCCCGCAGCTCGGATATCTATTATCATTTCGATTCATTGTACTCCTCATATTGTATTACACGATATAATTAAATTTACTTTGCCCGATTTTGTTCACTAATTTATCAAATAAGCGTTTAATATTACAAACTCCAGACAGTTGGAATTTAACTACCAATTATTCATCGCATTAATACGGCGACAGTTACTGATAACGCTATAAAGATCTTGATTTCTTGTTTTTAACTCTACGGTCGGAAATCAATTTTTTAACTCTACGGTCGGTAATCAATTTTTATATTTAAGCCATCTTAAGTACAGTCTTAAGATATATCATAAATAAATCATAGAGCCATATTAGTATCTTAAATAAGGATGTATTACATGTATTTAATCAAATAAAAAAATTATGAAAAATTACTTTTTATATTGTTTTGAAAGTAAACATTTTTACGGTAATTTAGGATCTGGATCAGAAATTATTTCAACAGAAAGTAACTTTATTTTTTTTTAATAATTAAGATAAAAAGAGAAAATTGACATTTAAATTTAAAATTCATATGGCAGTTCTTGAATGAAATATATTTGAACTATTTCAAAACTGAATGCATGTAACAATCATTTTTATATGGAAAGAATAAACTTACAATTTCAATCATTTTTTGCAGAGAAACTACCTGATACATTCTTAAGATAGATTTGAAAACGGACTATGATTACCGGCCTGTCTTTCTTAAACATTTATTTATCAATAATTAAAATAATTACCTACAGCTTTCGATAGTTATAGCTGTGCACTTATATACCTATCTATTTCAGTTCAATCAAACAGTTCGAGACTATGTATCTCTCCTAACTCATTGTCAAGCCATCAATAATTTTAAGTGAATTGTTATTTGCGAATTGTTAGAGCTCGAACTGTCAATCTTGCTGACGTCGTGACGCGCACGCGTCATTAAAGGCGTCAGCCCGCGTGTTCATGCGAACACGCGGCGCACGTTATATGCAGATGCTGCCGCCATCACTGATGATTTTCTAGTCACGGTCAAGAGACGCAAATACTTGAAACCATGACGTTCATCTCAATTTAATGATTTTACATAAAGCGTGACGAAATAGAACAAAGAAAAGAAAAAATTAAATAGCAAATTACCCTCTATTCTTTCTTTCATAAACAAATTTGTCATTATTATCATCATACCATTATAATGCTTTATGCAAGTGTCCTTATATTTCTAGTAGACCACTTTGTATGACCTTATAAACAAAAAGAATAATTTTATCGAAATATCAAAAAATTTAGAGAGACAGATCTAAAAATAATTTTCTTGAATCGTCAAAACAATTTTGGAATATAGTCATAATTATTTTGATAACCCAAGAAAATTATTTTCAGCTCCTAGCTAAATTTTTAGATACTTCAGCAAAACCATTCTTTTATGTAGTACTATACCTTAAGCAAAGAAAGCTACATATACTTTCAACAATTTCATTCCTAGATTAAAATCCTTTTAAGACGGCCGGAAGTTAAACGCGTGATCGTCATCGGACTGATCGAACCGAGAACGACGATCGTCTTCAGTCGATTTTACGCGATAGCCAATACTAGAGGCAGACTAGATTTCCGGAGGCGACCAATATAACGTGCAGGTTCTGCGCTTTCTATCGCCCAGAATCACACTCGCGCGCAGCCTGCTGACGATGATTGGTTCGAATCCAACAATACCCAACAGTTTACACGTATACGAATAGAAATCAAATCGCACAACTGAGATTTTGCTCCTGTTGTTCGTTTCTCACAATCGCTGTATCAGCTGTATGTGGCAAAGACGAGATGCAAAGTCTGTTACAAAATGCATTTCAAAAAGAAGCAAGATATGCTCAGCTCTTTTACTTCAAAAATACAATTTAAAACATAAAAAAACATAATTTTTTAGTTATTACAAAACGAAAATGTCGTAAATGACATTCGATCAAATTAAAAATATATTTTTTTACCAATATTATTTGATTAGCCAATTACGAGTCTGTTTGAAAATTAATTTAATTTTA